GGGCATGATATCAATGAAAGATGAAACTTTCAAAGGAGGTGGTAAACAAACGGAAAGATTACAATGAGCACAGATTGTATGTAGATTACGTGTTTTTTATGGGCAATAAACCTTGATTTCTATGTTAAACGCTCATTCTTAACAGTTGAACTATTAGCAATTGCTATTTTGATACGAGTTTCGACGGTAAAGCAGAGGTCATCATTAATTTCTATTACAGCTGACTGGTTTGAGCACTCAATGATCTAAATGATCATGAGTCATGAACGAGTCTTGATGAGTTCTACTGATCATAATTTTTTCCGAATGTTACTGTCCTAAACAGTATACTTCCAACGTACCTTACGGGCAGTTCAGAGCACAATCATTTTAACACTGGTGTATTCCTTAGGCATCATTATTGTAAATTAGTTTCATTATTGATATATTCGTCCTTTGGATGTTTCTGTATTCAGTATCCCATCCAGTGTCATTACGTTCGGTTTGGTATCAAAATCATTATGATTCTTGTTGCTATGGCAAAAAATGCTATGATTGAAGTGGTAAGCGTACATGAGCAGGCGAGAAATTATCCATACAATTCGCCATATCATGCAGAACCTATATGCATTCATCAGTAAAATGTTCCAAATTGAACATTTACGAAAGTTCTTTCTCTTTCTATCGTTCTCATTCTCTAAACTCCTTTTTCCTTCTCACACTCCTTTTCGATGTCTCATTCTTTAGTGCGGTTGCCATCACGATTCTCATTCACACCAATCACTAATTCTTATTCTCTGAAGATGCATTATTTTGTTTTACTAAATCTCTTACTGTCGTATAATTCTCTGCGTTCATGTAACCTTTTCCTCATGCATATCTGGTCTAGACGTTCGATCGTACTTCAAACATGTGCGTTTAGTTCAGCTTGTTCTTCGCAGCATATCTTCATTCCATAGGATAACTGGCTTGAGGACTCGTAGCTGGCCACCGAGCATATAGAGCAACTGAATTGTGAGTAGCAGCATAAAAAGGTGCCCTTGGGTTTTCGTTGAGTAGTCGTTCGAATGAGCACGCACACAAACAAACGCATAAACATAAATTTCATCGAATAATTTTTCAGCTACTTGAAGCAAGCATGAAGGGCACTAACGAAAAAGCATGAAGCAATACACTTGCAGCATATAAGATTCGTTCGTTCAAATACACATGCACTGCAACAAGAAGTAAACATTTGAATTGCGAAAGGGCACAATTATCCAGAGCACTGTTCGCTTGCTTGTGTTGAAAGAAAAAAACCAACCCATTTGGCTGTTTTTGAACGTCGTCGTGAGAATAAAATCCGAAAATTTTATGCTTATCTAAAGTGCTCGCTGGCTAAAGAATTACATTCATGCATTTCATCGTTGACTGCCTTCATGAGTGAAGATTGAAAAATTACTTTCGAGTGGTGCCAGCTAGCCTTGTCTGAAATATCAACTATTGCAAGCGATTCGATTGCTTGCGAGCAGTGAGCTGTAAGCTGCTATTGCAGAAACCTGCTTGTTCTTTAGTGGATAGATATCACATGCGGCGTTCTGTTCTCTTCATGCATCTCACGTTCATCTCACATGCTGCTACCTATGGTTACTTTTCATGCGCATGAGTGAGGAGTATATTTCCAAATAGGGCAAAATCATAAAAGTCATCATGAGATGATGATTCACAATGAATTCATAGTTTACTTGAAATACTCAGCAATATCCTATTTCAGCTATCTTAACGATGAATATCTAAAAGAATGCGAACAATTCTCGTAGTATCTGCACCCACTAATATTCAGTTTCTTGAGTGCACGATAGCGCTGAATCCTTGATTGTACCGTTTGACCGTTGTTGTCCCAGATAAACATCCCAAAAACTGCATTTGTTCTCTTCAATGTATCACATCTACAACTCTCTTAATTCCCTGATCACCATCAAACTTTCACGATTCGAGCTTCTCATTTACTCATTGTCGGAAATCTTGCTGAACTTCACCGCAATTGCAGTTTTCTCCTATCCGTCAAAATGCTGCGCTCATTTGTCACCGACGCCGAACTTGGGCAGGCTCTAGCCCTAACCAGCAACTCTCCGTATCTGCTTACAACCCACTATTCGATTCGTCATCAGCTAAGTGGCATCTTCCCAGAAAGTCAATGCTCTGTTTTCGGGTATCCACATCAGGACCCGCAACTTTGGATGATTATACGACGGAACAAATTCACCAGGTGCTTTCATCAAAAAATATTTCTGTTTTTTTTTGTTAAACATGATAATTACACATTTATCCTTGTTAGCGAGTGTTGTAAATATCTGGCCATTCTCTCGATCTTTTAATCAAGACCGGGAACTATCCAAGAGAAACAAAGATCCATGCGAAAGTGATAATGAGATGATAAGGACCATGAGAGACAAAACAACTTAATTGTTCAATCAATATGATACGTTTGAATTATTTCATGTGAAATTTATTATTTACGAGCGAGCGATTATCCATCGTAACAATTTCAGAACACAGGTATTTATGACGAGTCGCACGCAACTATTCGTCAACGAGCAAGATATCGACACATTTCTAATGCTCGCGATGCCATATCTACTCGAACTATCCGAATTCGCTGCACGTATATTGGGCATTCAACTGAGCAAGTACTCATTTAACCAATCGCTCGTACATCTTTAACTGCAACAATCGAAAAGTTTTTTTT